TCCAGTGGAGAAACATTAACAAGATTGAATATTGTAGCCATCTTACCAAATGTTGTTTGACGTAAATGCTTTATATTCATCAATTCATAAAACAAAACTCAGATGCTAATAATTATATACTTTGCTTCAATAAAACAAGCATTATAACGCCTTCACAATCTTCAACCCAGGTCAAGTCAAATCTGAGCCATTACATTTCATTTAACAGTATTTATAAACATATCTACATGCCAGGAACTGGGCTTGATGTAAGGGTTAAAGGGATAGGAAACCACACAATCCTGCATGGAAACATCTATGTAAACATATTATTTCAAAATAAGATAACAAATTTTCTGGATAAAAGACTCTAGTTCACATTCTTAGAAGTCCTTATTAAAAACCTAGGATTAAAAGACCCACAGAAAATCCTAGCTATATAATCTGTGATCTAATGGAGAGTTATAGATTCCTACCTTTGCATGTCCACTTGTGTTGGCAATGATAGGGATGTTTAGTTGGCTTCTGCTTCATTGATCTCTCTGTGTTTTGCACCTGTCCAAACGCCCTGTAAACAGAATAATCCATCTTTGAATTAGATGGAAAGAAAGACATCACCTGATCAAAAGCAGAGTCCGTGTGTGGCCCCTGTAAAACCACAAAGGACGTGGTTAAAGAGTAAGGGGAATTTTATTTTTTAAATAAACCATTTTTTTAGGACAGTTTTAGATTCACAGAAAAATTGTGAAAAAAGTACAACACCCAACTTTTCCTATTATCGTGTTCCATTAGTATGGTACATTTGTCAAAATTAATAAACCAACATTGATACATTATTATTAACTAAACTCTGTTCACCTTTTAACCTAAGTTGTTTCTTAGCTTTTACCTAATGCTTTTTTTTCATTTAAGGATCCCATTCAGAATATCACAAAACATTTAGTCCTCAGGTTGCCTTAGAAAACTCTGCTATGACACTTCTTCACTTTCCTTGTTTTGATGATTTTTGAAAGCTTTCAGGGGTGTTGGTCAGATATTTTGTAGAATGTTCCCAAATTGGGGTAGTCTAAAGTTTTTCTCATTATACTTGAGTTATAGGTTTTTGCAGGAAGATAACAGAGGTAAGTTGCCATTCTTATCACATCTTATGAAGGGTACTATCAACATGGCTTATCACTGTTGACGTTAACTTTGATCACTTAACTGTGGTAGTGTTTGTCAGATTTACCTATTGTAAAGTTGCTCTTTTTTCCACATTTCCAAACTGTACTCTTTGGAAAGAAGTCAATATGCAGCTCACATTTAAGAAGTTGAGTGTTATGTTCTACCTCTTTGAGGATAAAGTATCTACATAAATTATTTAGAATTCTTCTGCACAGGGTATTTGTCTAGTCTCCCATTTATTTATCCAATCCTTTTTATCACTAAGAAACTCANAGGTTGATTGTTCTGTAATTTAGTCATAATATTGATGTGTTCATGGCATGAGGCAAGCACAGCGTTTATCTACTCCTCCATCTTGGATCATCCTGATCATGAAATTCTTGACAGCAGGGACTTTTTCTAAAAGCCTTTGCCATCTCCTCAGTAAACTAAGTATTTTGTACATGCCTTGTATGCATATAAAGTCAAATAAATAAACTAAGAATTTGAAAACTGGGAAGAGATTGCCAGTGATATATTTGTTACCTAGTAAGAGAATTAGAACACTTGAAATAGCAGTAAGTTGGCTATTGGAGACAATGGTATTTGAGAAGTGTTTTAACAGCAATAAGGTAAGCAAGTCAGCAGTAAGTAGTCTAAGCAGTGAACCAGAACAGGTTAACAAGAAGCAGAATTGGAGGTAAAGAATTGAAATAAGAAAATCATCTTCAAAATATTGAAAGGGGTCTGAATACACTAGCCCAAAATGTTTCATTTTGGTATAAGAGTTACTTAAAGATGAAGACATTTGAGATTCAGCAGATGTTCCTCTAAGCTTCCCTTACCTGACTAAAAACAGGAACTTCTTTTTTTTTTTAATTCAAGTTTATTGCAGTGACTGTGTTTGATAAATTTACATAGGTTTCAAGTGCACAATTCTGTAATACATCATCTATATATCACACTGTCTGTTCACCACCCAGAGTCAGCTCTCCTTCCATCACCATATATTTGATCCCGTTTACCCTCATCTACCACCCTCATCCCCCCCTTACCCTCTGGTAAGCACT